CCCCAAAACCCCAAAACCCCAAAACCCCAAAACCCCTCACTTAAACCTCAAAATTGAATTTATTCTAACTCAACATCCTCAACAATACTTTTTGGAATCTCAATCTCTTGTTGAATTTCTTCTTCCCATTTTGTTTGCTTATCATGAGCCTTGAAGATTGGGGATAGCTCTGCTCTGAGTGTAAATATATTATACCCTAAATTTTCAAATTATTCAAAGTTCTACTCAAAAGAGTCTGATTAATTGATAAAATCTGTCATACCTAATGTTTGATATATCATCTCTACTCAGGTCTGGAGTTGCTCCTTTTTGAAGCAGATCTTACGTACTCCTGCATAATATCTTCAAAGAAGGCGTCTGAACTCTTGTATGTCAAGGTCTGCATCTGACTCCAGCTGAGCTTTGAATATTTTTAAGCCGGAATGACCTAATTTATATTAGGTTAGATAATCTGTTAATCTACTCTATTTGCATACAAATGTATGTCACCAATTACTTATATGCTTTAAAATTGGACGAATAATCTGTCATAAATAATGTAGATAAATTTACTCTAATTTTGAGCCTTAAGGAAAATAAGATTTTGAATGCCAACCCTACTTACTAAAGAAATCAAGAATGGATCTCTTAGTGGAATTCTTCCTAATATTGTTGCTCAAGAGGTTAGACTGGATTTGGATCAAGGCATTTAGGTTTATCTCATCGGCCTTTGTTGCTAAGTTTTCAATAAATTTCTCAGTGAGTTCATGGTTGTACTTTTTAAAGACTTTTTCTGTCCTACTCAACATGAAGTGCTTCTTATTAGCCTTCTTCCTAATAGTCTTTTTAATCCCTCTGTAATCATACTTTAGTACTTTTTGGTTCCATTGAGAATGGTTGATAAGCATTGCAGCTGTTTCTTTTCCTCCAGCTTGGTCAAGTATTTGCACAAATACTTGCTCCAAGATTGTGAGAATTTCTGCATCATATCTCTCGAAGTGAGTAAATGCAGTCATAAACTGAGCAAGATCAATAGAAGTAACTTCTGATGCTAATTGAGAAATGTCAACCGCTGTAAATCTTTTGATTAAACTCATTTTGATGATGTCAAAAACTACCCCATCTTCATGGTTGATCTTGACCAAGCAATCACAGATAGAAGCAAGTGAAGAGAATTTGTAGGTATCTACGTTCTCAATTGCATGCCTGGTGAGAATAGACTTGGAGTCTTGGCTGAGATGATCAAATTTAGTCAGAGTCAGCATGTAATTCATCACAATATCTTCAGATAGGAAGTCTCTTTTATGCTCTAAGATCTGTTCAAATTTATCAAAAAGGCCCTCATGGTAAATATTTAGGGTATTTCAAGCCCATAAGTTTCTGTTTGCAATGAACATGTTGAAAGGCTGCTGATCTGATAACTTCCTCAGCATATTGTTTGCAAGATACTCAGTCATGTATCCAGATTTAGCAAATGCTAGCAAGAAATGACTAAGATCTTGAGGATTGATCATCCTAAAATTTCCAACAGTGATCTTATCCTTAGCGTATTCCAAGGTTTCTTGGTCATTTATACCCAAAATGGAGCTATAAAGTATGAAACTACTGAGACCCTTAGCATCCATCTTATCAATAGATGCTTTCATTGAAGTATACAAATTCTGGAACGCTTCATTCTTAATTAGAGCATTTGGGTTAATTCTCTCTTTTGGTAATCCCCTTACGATCTTTCCTAGTACATGTACTTTGAAGATGGGATGGAGAGTGCTGGGATTATTCTCATTATAGAACCTCAGCACTCCTTTAATAGTGCCTAAATTTTGTAGTTGTTTGATTTTGATAGCGTCAATTTCAAATTCATACTTCTGGAGTTGGTCATCAAGCGATTTTCTCTCAGCAACTTTGCTCAAAACTTTCTCAGATTTAGTCTTTGGCTTCCTGATTGCTCTAGCGAAGGACGCAATAGGATATCTCTGTAGTTGGAAAGCAACTGGGAATCTCCAGAAAGACTGGGGATTAAATACTCTTGGTTTCAGTCGAAACACACTCTTACTAAACATCTTTAGAAATAATTTATGAGCCGTCAATATTTTTAAGGTGACCAGGGGTTTTGGGGTTTTGGGGTTTTGGGGTTTTGGGGTTTTGGGG